CAAGCTAATCAATTGACTTATTTTCTCCCGAAAATTATAGCCAAAGTAATATTCCAGCTTGTAATAAAAAAAACAAAGAGATTTTATCAAACCCAAAAGCGCTACTGAGCTTTTTCGCTTGCTTCGTGTCTCACGGCAAAATAGCAAACTCAACCATATTGATAGCTGCTTTATTCTCCCTCTCTCTCCCTCTCCCACACCACACCACGTCACATTTCTTCTTTTCCCTTGTCTGCTGCTGATCTGCCGGTGTACTTTATTATAAAAGATTTTTTTGTTTTTGTTTTAATTTGCATCGACTTCGTTTCGCTTCGAATTGTGTAGAAAAAAACAGGTGTCAATTTTATTGAATTGAAGTGTAGTAGGATGTATTGTCTTTCTTTTTTGTCAAATTAACTTTTGTTTGCGATTTCATAATATTTACTGTCTGTTGATGTATATTTTTTGACAATGCCAAGACCGGTGCATTAATTTATCATTTCTGAAAGTTAAGTGGACGGCTAAATGAAAATGGCAATAGGACCCTTCCAATGTACGAATTTTTTGTAATTTTCTCTTCAATGCTATCTTTTTATTCAGATTACGGCTAACTTCCTTAATAACTCGTCGATTTCTTACATTTTCATCGGTTTTGGTTCAGTGGCTGCAAACTACCCGTGTCCTTTATTCAACTCCACTGCACTTATTTGGACCTCAACATCTGTCCTCTTTCTATCTATTTTCTAATTGGTGGTGTTAAAAGTGCGATAATTTGCCCAGTCTAAATTTCACTTTGGGGACTCACAAGCAGTGTCCTTCTCTTAGCATCTACTTGTAAAATTGTGCGAAAGGATTTTTAGTTTCAAAATCATGTTTAGCCTTTTATTTTCACTTTTTGTGGTTATATGAATTGTTTAAACTCCCGAAAAGGCTGATTTTCGGCTTTTGAAATAGAAGTTAACTGTAGTGGCAGAATCGAGTTGTGTAGTTAAACAACCAGTCAATATGCATTGGCGATTGTGGATAGGAACCATTTCATGGTTGATTGAATAATTCATGTAATTCGAATTGTAGAATGCAATTAGGTGAATATTTTTCCATCCAAATTTGAAAATAAAATGCAGTGACATACGACGCTCTACTTTGCATCTCCTCTGTCTATTCCCCAATGAAATTTGTTTATTGGATTTTATTTGCTTTCCCACAAAATTGATTTTTTTCTGTTTTGTGGATTATTTATATTAATAAGAGGCGGACTAACTGTCAAGTTACATAATGCTCATTGTTGAATCTTTTTCGTACAACATTATCAATGTATGTTGATTAAAGAAAGAAATCGATTCGCTCAATAAACGCGTTTTATGCACAAGGTGACGGTTACTAATTGAATTATTGTCCAATTGCCCTTAAGGCATTCTTTTTTCATATCCTCGTGAAGTATTTTGGGTGAAGTACAAAGCATTGGAAGATTAAGAAAGTAATAAATTTGCCCGATTTGACGTTACGTACTGTTTAAGAAGATTATTAGATAAATAATTGCCCTATTTTACACTTAAAAATTTGATTTCAGAAGAATAGTTAATTAAGTTAAGTTTACGCAGTTGAGTAAATGTACCAAATATATGAGTTCCTAACTTGTATAAGTTTGGACTAGGACCTTTCTTAAAGGCATTTTTTGTGAATTCTAGGATTCATGAATATTTTTGGCGGTTAACAGCTTTGCGTTTTTAACAGAATGAGGGGAATAGCGTGGGAAAATTTCGTCCCGAAAAAATAATAATTTACCTTAACGCTCAAACAAATTTGAAGGTCTTGGCTTGAGACCGTCGAAAATCAGGCTTGGTAGTCTTCTAATTGGTAATTTAAAAAAATGGGAAAATAAAATTTTTTTCCCTATAGATTTGTTATTACGTATTTTCTTAATAAGGTCTCGTTTCTGATGGGGCGAAGATGTGGTCGTTTATGTCGTTGTTATTTTTTCAAATCCCTTATAATGCAACTTCAGCTCTTTTAAATACATTAACGATTTTTTGACTTCTTTTATACACCATTTGACATTTTAATCCTATTTCCTTTTTCAATATGGCAGTGATCCTCAAGAGTGATGCATGCTCTTGCAAAAGAAGTAAATCTGGATTAAAATCATGCTTCGTTGTACAAACCGTGTCATGTCAAAAATGGGCTTGAAATTTGTATGTTGGGGGGGGGGGGTTCTTGTTGCCTTTTCTAATCTCATTTAAAATTTTTGGATGTTGAAAAATAGCTCATGTTTGAGGTGCCCGATCGCCTTTTGTGAATCATTACTGTCAAAAAATAATCGTCTGACTTTCAAAATTATACCGTTTAACTCCCTCCCTATACGCTCGTGACTTGTCTTTCTACCTGTTTCGGCCCACTAGATACTTGATAACGCATTTTTTATCCCCCCTAATTCACTAATCAGCGCTATTGTCTTTGTCGTCTTATCCTGTCTGCTGTGCATTTTGTCTAGGTTACAACTTGAGTGGCTTAGACAACTTCTCTACGGTTCCGTCTGTGATTCCTAGAGTTTTTTCTCAATACCTATATCCACATGACTGTAATATGTTCTAGATCTTAAATTTAAATGCACTTGATTAATCTTTTTTGAGGTTAGGTGTCTTGTCACGCCACAAATCGCCCACAACAAGGCCTATACCCAGTCTTCTACTTAACCGCTTTATTTTTCCGTAAAATTTGGCATTGCAGGCATGTGGAAATGGGGAACAAAAGCTGATGGCCTCGTTACTACGATCTTATCGGGTACTCGTGTGGTAAATATATATGCGGAGGAAGTATAGTCAGTTCCTAAAGCTCATTTATTTGCACAACGTCTGGAAGTATTAAGTAGGCAAAAATTTATTTATTTCAAGTGGCAGGCGTTTTGATAGTTATCATTAGCCCTTTAGCTGACTTCGGGCTTCACAGAGAGGAGGAGAAACATCAAAGTGGCAAAAAGTCGAGAGGAAGGGCAGAATAATGATTTACAGTTGTGAAAGAGTCAGACAGACATAAAGGCAGAGAAAAGGTAAGATGAGTATTGTGGAAAGGGTCGAATATGACATACAGTGCAGTCATGGTAGTTTGAAGTCAGAAGTCAACTGCCGCTTTATTGGCTTGTTTGCCGTATACGTTACCAGGATGCACCACGTGGAGGTAAGTCTATCGCATACCCCTAGGAGGCAAGGATAGTAGACGGATAATTAAATTGTCCAATTTGAATTATTAATATTATTCGGAAGTCTGGAGTGAAAAACGATCACTGTCGCGGGTTTGTGAAATAAAGCTAGGCATCTATTAGAGAAAGCCGATTATACCATTGTTTTATTCAAGCACTTTTTTTCTCTTCTGCGTGTGTGTGGTATCATCTTTTACTTCGCAGCTTAAGCTCTGACCTTCAAAATGATTTGCTCTCATGAAGGAGAAGAAGAGGAAGAAGAGCATACGTGTCGCATGAAATTTCCTACTCCCACTTATTTTTAACTTAATAATTATCGATTCTCATTTTGATTTGGGTTTATCAGCAATGTTTTGAGGGCACTTATCTCCCCTCTTTCTCTTCCATTACTTACTTAAGGTTTTAAGTATAACGCAAATAAATTTCATTTGACATTTGGAGGATTCTTTGTGTCGCATACCTCTATTCTTTAACTTCCTACAATTGTATAAAATTGATTTTATTTAACCTATTCAACAAATAGGAAGATGTGCTATTTTGGCTTATTTCTGATTGTGTTTACTAACAGTCATTTGTCACTTTTGATAGCAAATTAACTGATGGTGATATTCTTGCTGAAAATTGAGCTTTAAATTATTTTACAAAACTTTCTACCACATCTGTATGTTGTCATTTTGTGTATCCCCTCACTCAGGCTATATGTCAACAAGGGAGAAGTTGTCTCGAAGTTATTTATGCTCACACAAGATGTGTGGATCTTGGGAAAAATTTAGATATGTATGTATTCATGTAAATCCAGCTGCCTATATCAGTCCAAGTGAAAATTTTATGTTTACTGAAGAAATCATTGAATTTCTTAAGAGGCGGTAAAGCGTTTTTCCATGACCACCATGAAATGGTAAAGAAAGTAATATTCTTTCCCCTTCTTTGTACGTTTTCTAGTTTATGGACAGTACCACTTGCCCATGGCCACCACTTGTCCAATCCTCTGATTGTCCATTAAACATTTTCTTTTTTTGCCAATGTATTTTGTGCACTAATAGGGGGAGATGGTAGATATTTGTAATTTAGATGATTATAGGGTGTTTACTCCTACATAGTCAGTGTTTTTGGCTGCCCAATCGTCTAGCTGATTCCTAGCTAGCAATTGAGGTGGTAGAATGCGAGATTCTCGCTGGAGAACATCCAACATACCTTCCTTCTACTCAAACTATGTTCCTTTTGACGCCTTTTCTAATGAGCTCAATGCTTTCTTCACGCCTAGTAAGGAGTGATTGGCTTTCTTTGTACCCAAAGTTAAAATATGGTGCAATTTTGAATAAATCATTGATTTTTTAATCAACTTTTCCTTTTTTAACATCCACATCTACTAGCTTTTCAAGTGTCTTTTGACTCCTTTTGTTACGTAATAGTAGGCCTTCAAATGATTTGTTGTTTGGAAAGGAAATACAATATGATTAATTTCCATGCAATTTGATATTTCTAAAAGCTCATATTGTTATTATTTTTGTTTGGAATTTATTACGCAGATTCGACTGCACATGATAAAAATCTGAAATCCACTCTCTCCCTTTTCTGGTAGCATGTATTTTCACAATCCCTAGTGTTTAACTTCTAACTCAAAACTGTTTTAAGCTTTATGTCTGTAGGCATTAGCAGTCATTAATAATTTTGCTGCATTTCTTTGCTAATTTCTGGTTAACGTCAATTCGCTTTGGCATTACAATTTTTACCCATTGATTTTGAGATTCACAAACCTTCTAATTTATTCAAATCGATTGATATAGGTTTCAGCCTCTTTCAGTTTTATTTATTCTCTGTTTAGGCGAATTCAAGCAAGGTATCAGGAAATTAGCTCGACGGTGAAGAAAATGATCACCCACATGAATGCAATCACGGCCCTCGAACAGTCACTCTCCTCACAACTCACCGTGGCATCCCAGCATCAACCCGAACTCATTCATGAATTTGCTCAGAATGCTGAAGTTCAACGTGTTGTCGCCATGTCTACGAATAGCTATATTGGTAAGTTTGGGTCTTTTCGGCAATGTCTTTTTCTGTTGAAAATTGATCACCCCCTTCACATCAATTGCGCAGTTTGAGACTCAACTACTGGATGGTGGTCCATACATTGCGTTCCAAAATGAAGGGGAACACAAAACAGCCTGCTTACTAATCCATTATTTTCCACATGCATGTTGGCGGCTTCAGCATCAAAGGCTTTCGGAACTAGTGTTGGTACTCCAGTGGTTGGGTTTTGGAGTTTTTAATTGACGGTTCTATCACACTTCTGCTGGTCTTAGTTCATTCACTTCTTGATGCAGACGCTATAAAAACTAATTTGGCGTGATAAACTGGTTGCCGAAAATTTGGCTTTTCTCATTTCTCAATAAATCGAACTATTAGAAAAGCTCACTTTCTTGACCCCAAGCAAGCTATTGAGTTGTCAACTAAGTCATTGCCGTTTTTGTTGACGAATTCACTCTATACTTTGTTTTGTTAACGTGGCCAGAGCATCTAACCTATATTTTTTTCTTACTCTATGGGCTTCTAGGTTAATTAGTAAAAATTTTTTTGTTTAGTTCTTTAGTTTTGTTTTTATCCCAATTTAAAAATGAAAGAACAGGGCGTGCACTTCCGACACATTTTATTGTATTACTTCCGAAAAGGCAAGAACGCATCGCAACGGATTAGCATCTGTGATTCGCCGCTACTGAAACGCAATGAGAATGATCCATTTCTGAAGAACCTAGTTACTGGCGACGAAAAGTGGATAGTCTGTCAACAATGTTACTCGCAAGAGATCATGGGTGAAGCAAGATCAACCAGCCCAAACAGTATCAAAAGCAGAGATTCACCAAAAAAGATTATGCTGTCAGTCTGGTGGGGGGATCACAAAGGAATTTTGTATTTTGAAGTCATGCCGCAGAACCAAACGATAAATTCAAATGTGTATGTTGAAGAACTCGAAAAAGTGAAGGATGCAATTGAAGATAAGCGGCCGGCATTATCAAATCGGCGGAAGGGTGTTGTTTTCCATCATGATAACGCAAGGCCCCACACATCTTTGGTTACTCGACAAAAATGATTGGAACTGGGTTGGGATGTTTTGTCACACCCACCATATAGCCCTGACCTTGCGCCTTCGGATTACCATTTGATTCGTTCCATGCCAAACTCTTTAAATGGCAAAATTTTTAACAACGCGGATGATGTCGGATCACACCTAATTCAGTTTTTTAATAGCAAAGACCAGACATTTTACGAAGGGGGAATTTTTACTCTGCCAGAACGATGGAAAAGGTCATCGACAAGAAAGGCCAATATCTAATTGAATAGAGTTATATTTCTAAACAAAATTTCCGAATTTGCCTTCTCACTTGAAATCGGCAATGACTTAGTTGCCAACCTAATATATACTAGCACGGTCATAAACCTGTGGACAAAATCCACAGCACAATGTGGGTGCCCTATGGAGGGATGGATTTATCCCAGAATTGCACGCTTTCATTAATGTTATTTTGAGTCTTTAATTTGAGAGAAGACTTTTTATCTTATCTTGCATCTGTTTCCCTGCTGCTGAACAAAAAAGTCGCTAAAGAAGCTTCTTTTCACCTGCTCTTGGCTATTCTGAGTGCCATTCTGAACACCTAATGCGAATAAGACCTTTTGTTTATTTCTACCTAATTGCAAGTATTACTATCACTGCTGGATAATAGTTGTATCTCAATCAAGTTATAACTTACTTTAATGTGCTGTTTGTTGTTTTCAAAATGCCAATGTGCGGAAATCTTTCACGTAAGCAAGCAAATTAAACTTTAAAAGGTAGTGAGTTCTTTCATGTGAAACTCACACTTCCTGTGTGCAGACTATTTGAAGGAACAAATCAATAGATCAACTCGAGTGTGCTGTGGTGAGTTGTATTATGTTAATTGCAAGGCTTCTAATCCCGTCAACTTGCTGTTAGTAGTTAAAAATTACAAACAAATTGAGTAACACCATCAAGTACGTAAATGAATCCACTTATAAGCTAGCACTAAATATAATGGCCATGATCTCACCCAAGAATCGTTTTATAACAAATGGCAGACGTTTTGATAGTTATCATTAGCCCTTTAGTTGACTTCGGGCTTCATAGAGAGGAGGTAGAGGAACATCAAAATGAGAAGAATTCGGGAGGGGGGATAGAAGAGTAATTCACAGACGTAAAAGAAACAGACTCAAATGCTCAGAAAGGGTAAGATGAGTACTGTGATGGGGGTTGCATATGACATACAGTGGGGGTGATGGCAGTTTGAAGTGAGAAGTCAACTGCCCGTTAATTGACTCTTTTGCCGTATGAATATACGTTGCCCAGGGTGCACCACTATGAGGTAAGTCTATCCCACGCCCCACCCAAAAATCGTTGTTTCCAGTGGTCAATGTTGAATATTATGATATTTAAATAAAGTTGGATTTGTGATATCCTAGCTTCCATTGACCGCTTGTTGCTGACCCTCTTCCCCCTTTCATACCTGATTCGACTCCTTCATTCTTCCCCTTATTCAATACTTTTCTATGATGAGCGATTGAAGAATTTCTTTGAAATAATGATAGCGAAATGGTATAAAACAACTCTCCTCTTTAGTTCATCCGATATAATGGACATGCGAATATTGGGACAGTAGAATATGAAGCGGTGAACCATTCCTGGTATGTATGTATACAACTTGGCTTCAATGGACAAGTTAAGATCCTTGGTGCAACTAGTTCCTTCTCACTTTCCACCCTGTCTTATCTCATTACTCTTCACTGTGCTCAGGTAACGTCTCCTTACACTCTAGAAGTGTAAATTATAGTAGTAAGGTTCATAAATGAGTCATGTGATATTCCTTCCCACTGGTTACACTTTCACTTCCCATAAACTGTAGACTTCTGCTTCCATTATTATTATTATCATCTTTAATCGATATTTGAATTGCATGTCGCGATGATGTTATGCATCCTTAGAATAAGTGCTATTCCAACTGGGATTACGTTTTGGAGCTAAAAGGAAGTCGGTATCCCAACCAAGAAGATAAAAATTCGCATTTTCTCTTTCTTTTTATTATTGAAAAATATATTGCAGCTGAACTTGATATATGCTAAGTATATCGTGACTCATGTGAGCCCTTATCGACAATCTAAAGGTAGAATAGTAGTTTAATCAATATATCAAGCAAAATCTTTCCAAATCTTCCATTGTTAGTTTATGTATTTTACTAAGACCCCTACCAAGACAAAACACTATTGAGCACTTTTTCTCTTCCGGGGAAATACGTGAAATAAATTGGCATCAACTTCTACAAACAAGAAAGTCACTTTGTTAAATTGGCTTAATTCGTTTTATTTTGGATTTCCGTTGGTAAACGATCGGCTTAATGGGGCGTTCGCATTACTCCCTTAATTACTGGGATTAGTCTTTTCCACGTTAACTGGTGCTTAATAATCAGTTTGATTGACTATGGGTGGGTGGGGGG